CCTTCTAGCGTGCCCACATCCCCCCACATCTTAATGTCATCAGCAAATTTGAACAGGGTGCTTTTTACCCCCTCGTCCAAGTCACTGATGAAGATGTTGAACAGTGATGAAGATGTTAAACTACATGACCTCTGGAGGTCCCTTCCAGCCCTACTTCTCTGTTCTATAATCCCCACAGTTGATTTTGCCCTTTTCAATATTTTCAGGATTTGAGTTTTATTTAATCTGTTGGTGTTTTGTAATTACTTAGCAAATAGTTTAAAGTAACACATTTTAGTTTTGGGGCTGTTCAGAAACTATTTATTTTAACTTTGAATGCTTGCTATTCATGATGTGATGGATCATGTAGATCACGTGGTTCTTTTTTATTTCTAACTGCTCAGATCACTGACATTTTTAATAGTGGGAAGAAGGACAATAAAGAGTTTTCAAGATGGCCACAGAAACACTTTTGGCATATGCCTCTGTGAAAACACATTCACACAGTTACCCAGAAGACTTCTCTGTACCTTGAAGAGGCTTTTATAAACTAAAAACAAACAACCTCCCCAAATCATATAGCTGTTCCCTAGGAAATGAATAAAAAGTGTTGCGATCCACATGAAAGCAGAAGTGTGAGGTTTATATTCAAACAAATAATGGCAAATTCGTTTTACAGTCTACACAAATCTATGCCTGAAAAAGATTTTCTTCAGACCAAATAAGGCACATTTTGGTGCTGTATATTTTTCTAAGCGTTTCACAGTTTTGGGACACTGTGGTAACATCTGTTTTTATTTCCTTGTTAATTCCTTTTCCTGACTCAAACATAAAATATCCAGGAAAGTATAATTTCAAGGATAAGATATCCTTGTGTGTTGAAAAGGCTCCATCTTGGTGTGTTAGAAGGATATCATCTTTATACAAAAAGGCAAATCAAGGTAAACAGAAAATAAAGACCACAGTTATAAAAATGATAACGCTTTATTGTGCAAATACATTGTTACTGGGAGGGGAACTGAGGGGCATGTAAGGAGGCTTGAAACACATACCCAAAAATAAGATATGTGCAGAAGAAAGACTTGAATAAAGCTCTGTGCTCTGAGAACAAAGCTTAAAGACGTTTTTCTAAAGGAAACAGCAAAATAGTTGTGCTATGCAAAAATTAGTTTTCTTTCTTTCTTTCTTCTCCAGAAGTGCAAAGGACATCTGTTGTAATGGGCAGAGAGTTCTTACTGAAATATTATATTCTCCTTAAAAAGAAGTCACACCAAATATCTCTGTAGTACAGTCAAATCTTCTTTGCAATGTTATTTCTTTAATGCATGAGTGTAATGTGCAGCTTGACTAGTGTTTATTTTTGTTGTGGTTACTTTTGTTTAATTTCGTCAAAGTGCTTTCCAGTCTTTTCTTTGGTCACTGTGCATTACATTTTCTGGGAAATAAAAGCTGATCCTTATATTGCAAATAATGGGGCATGTTAGCTTTTACAAGGAGAAGATTCTCGCCTGAGGTAATGAGAACTAGTGACTCCAGCAGTTTTTTTAATGGGAGATAAGGGCACTTGGGATTACCCAGCAGCTGCTCAGGACTCGCAGCAACAGAAGGTCAGCACCAAGCAGGCTCATCCCAGAATGTGTTTTATCCTGCAAGCTGAATGCACTCAACTGCCTTTGAAGGCAAATGGAATTAAAGCCATTTCCTGAATTATATTCAACTTGCACTGTGCATGGTCCTAAATATCTTGGAAACACCAAGGATCTTAGAAAAGTGCATTCATTTCTCTTTATTATGCTCTAACAAGAGTCTAAAAAATTCTTTTCTTAGCTGTCTGTAGAATGAAAGTGTTTACTTATGTCTAGATGACCTTCTCCCTGTCTCTCACCCTGAAAGAAAAAGGCATAAATTACTGGGAAATTTTCTAGGTTTAAACTCAAAAGTTGTATTATGTATTTGCATTTTGGTGGTACACAGGGTGGCAGTGAACTCTTATCTTTTTTTCCCTTTGAGGTAACCAGGTTTGTAGCTCTCCAATAATTAAAATGTTCTAGGATTTGTTGAGATCTTGGGACACTTACACTTCAAACAGGGGCCAGACAATCCATGCTCCTTCAGAAGCTCAGCTGCCATTGGTTCCTTTGATGTAGTAGTAATCTCTACCTAGCTACTTTTCCACAGTGAAGTGCCAAACAAGGACTTGCAGCCTTAATTATGCAATGAGCAGCATTAGCTTGAACTAACATTGCATCAGAATTTCCCTGGGTTCTGAAGACTGATGGTGCCATCACCTATGATCATACCACAACTCACCCATGAGCCCATCCATCCATGTCTCAGGACATATAGCAGGCACCCATTCTGGGCAGTTTTCCCAGAAAGTCTGACCAAGGACCTTGGGAATGGAGACAGTGTTTTGAAGGGTTCCCTTTCAAGTGCATCATATCTCCCCTAGAGAGCTGGAGGGACAGCACAGCCTTCTTCAAGATTATTGCATGTAAAAAGATAATAGCGCACACATTACTTTTTATTAAAAAATGATTATTTAGTTTGGTTTTCGTAGACACGAGGGGCAACATGCATCATTACAGCCACCCTGAGAAAAAAAAAGTTGAGAAGCCCTTTTTCATTTGTAGACTTGCATTGCCACCAGACTGATTACTAGTGAGATAGTAGCTGCAGACATATACGTAAAGCTCCATTTCAAAAATCAATCCAACATCTTTCTTTTCCAGTCATCCAGTTTGGCTTTGTCACACTCTTTGTTGCCTCCTTCCCTCTGGCACCAGTATTTGCCCTTCTCAACAACATCATAGAAGTTCGGCTTGATGCAAAAAAGTTTGTTGCTGAATTAAGGAGGCCAGATACAGTAAGAGCAAAAGATATAGGTATGTAGTGGAAAATCTCTGCAATGATGGCAGTACCTGGAAATCACCTAAGAAGAGACAATTCCTTTTAACAAATCTTTGTTTTAACTCTTTTACAGGAATTTGGTATAACATTTTGAGTAGTATCGGGAAGCTTTCAGTTATCATTAATGTAAGTATCTGTTTATCTTTCAAACATGACCACCTGAGATTATTTTGTCCCTTGTGTCTAATTTAAATTTTGAGCAATGGTTAGTTTCCTTAATCACTCTACAACACACTGAGAAACTAAGTTCTTCAACTCACTGCTTTTGGGAGGTTTCAAACATCATCTAAATTCCCTGGGAGATGTATATTCACTCATCTCTTTCTCTGTATTCTTATGTTATGTGGGACATAATTTGTAAAGGTTATTAAATAATGAGCCATAATCATGCAAAATCAAGTACATCAATAGAGGTCTAATTCTCGTTCGTGCAAAGACCCCTGTACAGCCACTGTGAAAGCTTAAATATAGGAGCAGGTGAGCTGGGTGCAGGGTAAAACAAGATAAGGCCTTGTCTGGATGAAAAAGTTTTACAAGTTATGTCAGTGTAGTTATACAGATATAGTTATATGAGCAGCAGTGTAGGAACACAAATGAGCGCCAGGGTCAAAATGGAAGCAGTAGCTTCTGGTTCGTGATCATGAACATGAGCATGCAGCTGACAGCAGCAGCTGATTTCCCCTCCAAAGTAGCTCCCAGGGTAGTTGCCCCTACCACACTTTCTTTTTTTATGCTACTGTCTATGAAAGTAAAATGCTGTGCAAACAGGGCTCTGGCAAATGTTATATTTGTGGCATTGTACATGTGTAATCCTTCTGCCAGGCACCTGTCGGCAGCAAAAAGGGCTGGGTTCACATTTCAGAGTATTTCACAAATTCTACCAGTGACTTAAGCCCCCACCCAGAAATCTGAGAACACTAACTTTGCTGAGGTGTCCCATAGAAACAAAACCCCCTCCTCACAAGCAGTGTAAACAAGGAACTTTATTACAAAACCCAAATTTATTACAGAGAATAAAAACAAAACAAAGGAAAACACTAAATATACTTTTAAAACACTATTAACTACAAAGCAAAGTGTATAGGTGGCACCCTTTTGAGGAGGCTTAACCCGTACCCAAGCAGTCTGGGACTTGGAGCTCCCCAATTGGTAGTTCTGGGGGTCTGCACCCCTATACCTGCCCTTCAGCAATGGGCTGGAGAGGGGGGCCCACAGGGGAGAGTCCTATGAGCTGCTCCTTGGGTTCACTGTGCCGTGAGGAGCTGCTTGACAGTGTGGGTCCTTCTGCATTGGAAGGGGCTCTGCTGCTCCTGGAGATGTGGTACAGCGCTGATCTCCACTTCTGCATGGTGACTTCAGCTTTCATCAGCATACCACACCCCAGAATTCCTAGTCCCGATCCCATCTCTGCTGCGCAGAAAACTGGGTGGGCTTGGACCTTCTTGTTTTTTTGTATTTGGAGACGCGTGCTATCCACTGGCATTTTAGGTGCTCACATTGTGACAACAGTCATGCCATCCTTCTGTTATTGATAGGTGGAATGTTAAACTGTGTAATTTTGAGTTTTAAAAAAAATCTAAGGCTTGATTCTGCTAATTTTACGCCCTCCCCCCCAGTAAGTTGGGTGGTGGGCACGTCTAAAAATAACTATATGCTGCCGAGTGTCTAAAGATAACTATGTGCCAGTACTAAATGTGCAGTCTGGGGCACATGTAGATGTGTCCAGTGAAAACTTTCATAGATTAGGGTGGCAAGATGTGGCAGTAAATGACCTTTTATATACACAGTCCAGGTATTTGTTGGCCCTGTTCTGCCCCAACTGGTATCACTTTTATAATGGCACAAACTCCATAGACTTTGGTGAAGTCATTCTAGATACAATTTGGAACAAAAAAAAGAGAATGCAAATTGACTATGCAGCCAATGCAGTGAATGGAGCAACACCCATTTATACCACCTGAGGATTTGGCTGTTACATCTTTTACAAATTAATGTGTTGTTAATGTGTTGCTTGACATCCCTTGTAAAACTCCCATTGATTTCAGTGGGGCCAGGATCAAGACCAGGCTAGGTAAACTAACTGCTGTAATTATTTCCTGCTCTTAGAAGTGTTTCACTTCTTGCTTAACTACCTCCTTTCCCTAGAGAGGTACATAGCAGGCTAGGGTTATGTTTTCAAAGCCCATATTCTTTACTGTGTCTGGCAATATTTGTGAGGTGCAAAAATGATCACCATTATTCTATATTTTCTTGAAGATGAAAATTATAACCTGAATTAAGTTAATCCAAAACACATCATCCATCAATTCACAGGGTTATTTTTTGTCTCCCAGGCTTTTGTAATCTCTGTCACATCTGATTTTATTCCACGTCTTATGTATCAATACGCATACAGTCAAAATGGAACCATGCATGGCTTCATCAATCACACGCTCTCATACTTCAATGTCAGTCATCTCAAGGCTGGAACACAGCCAGAAAACTCCCAGTTTGCTCAGGATGTTTTATTCTGCAGGTAAAGTAGCACTAACAGCATTTCATGTAGGTGAAGTAAATTGTTTAATCCACTTATTAAATAAAAGCATTTCCTTTCTGTGTTAGAACTGAAAAGCTTTTGTTGCTTTTAAACTATTACTGCTATTATTTTATTCATTAATTAGAATACTACTTTCAATATATGGAAGTGAACAGCCAAGTGGTGCTTCTCAGCACATTAATAGCAAAGAATTAACATCTTCATAAAGATCATCTGAAATATATAACCTGGGACTCAGTCTTTTGGCTGTGTGTAGATGAAACGAGTGGCGTATGTGAACAACACTTTAAAGTGGGATAAATGCTTTTGCACTGCTTTAATCGTGTCCGTGTTTGCATGCCTTGGTGGCAGGTGTATTGTGCATTAATTCCAGCTGCTGTAGAAAATTCGGCGGCGTAATGCACCTTAAATGACTTGGGCCACAGCAAAATAAAACTCCTAGGAGGAGTTTTAGTTTGCTGCCCCTACACCTGTGGAACGATGCAGTGGGCTCTGTGCAGCCCAGCGGCTCTGCAGGAAGCCCTGCAGGCAGCCTGGCAGCAGCCCGAGAAGACAGGCTCCACACAAGAGAGGGAAAAAAAAGCGGTGAGCCTGATTTCCCCACCCCAGCCTGGAGCCTGCCTGCCTGCACAGGGGCCCAATGCTTCCCTCTGCAGCTGTGGTGCCCCTGGGACTGCTCAAGCTGGGTGCCTGAAAGCAGGTGTCACCTGGGGGGTGACACTGCTGCTGCAGATGGAAGCAACACCCCCCCCTGGAGCAAAGGGACCGCTCCACCTGCTGGCAGCTCACCCTCCCCTCCCCTCCCCGCCACTGGAGAGGC